TCCAAATTGCAGCTGCTATAGTGAAAACGCAACTGCGATCAGTCTCCCAGAACTTGTCGGGGCTACAATCACATTTTAAAGACGGGAGTGCAATGTACAAGGGTCTGCTTCTGATTACCAAAACACTTCATCCAGGAAAATTGGCCATGCCGGACTTCCATCAAAATGGCAGCCATGATTACGAACAAAGTAAATCGTTTTACGCTTCTTTTCCGACTCCCTACATACAAGCAAATGCTGCGCTTCTCTTATCGAAAAAATGACGGTAAAATAACATGAGAATGATGAACCTCAGCGTTTGCAAGCTACAAAAGGAAATGGTAGAATTGGCGTGAATGGAAAATTTGCTCGAATTCTGTACTTATAATGCAGTTTGTGGGGGTTGTGACATCCTTTTGCTCCTCTGCGTCTCCTTCACAAGGCCAGACACCAGACACTAAGGCCCAAACTTTTGCCACAGGTTAAGTGGCTCACACACCCCCACCCCCCTGAATTGCCCCACTCCCCTGGCTCACGCATTCTTACTTAATACTTGGCTCACGTCACACCAAAAGGATTAGATGGCATACATCCAGTTTGTGGATAATAAGTTATCAGCATCCGTTCAACTAGCGGCACAAAGTGGTGAGGTGGTTCCTGACTGAGGGGTTGCCCTTGGTTTCAAAATTAGCTCGATTTCATTGCTGCCCAAGTTTTTTGCGAACTCAGTTTTTTGTTACATGACTACCTGTGAAATATAAAAACAACAAAGAAAGAAAACGGTATCGAAGAAAAACAAAAGCAAAAAGTAAGCTCACACGAAACCATACAAAGAAAACTAACCAGCGCGAGGAATACGTTCTCGGATGTCTGTGGGCGCACGGATGTCTCTTGGCTTGCTCTTAACAGTTGAAGGAACAATCTCGGCCGGCAGATTCAACACCTCCCTCAAATGAGCGATACCCTCATCGGTCAGGTACCAATAATAATGACGCCACGCGAACTGCTCTTTGACAAGCTCACGAGAAGCCAAACTCTGAAATAAAACAGATGGACGGCACCATCACATTCATATCACACTTTTTTTTTCAAATTCCGACTATATTATTTCACATATTTCGACCTGAAGCACCCTCCGAAACAGAATACTCACTAAAACTGACCCCATACAAAGGACAATAGCGTTCAGCACACCTTTAAAGCCTTGATAACCTCCAAATTGGTCACTCCTGGAATATTTGGGTGCTGTTTGAGGTTGAAGTCTTTCTTAGCGACGGCAACTCCCTCATTGAAGAGGTACTCATAGATGGCTTTTCGATTTTTGCTAGGAATCAGCATCCTGACCGCAAGTTCTGTAAAAGAAACGACTATTAAAGAAATGGGAAAGAGAGAGCCACCATGCAATAGCACAGTGCACTTATTCTGAACACTTTACTAGTAAAAATATCAGCGAACCAATATTGGAACAAGTAATTGCGAACAAATTCAACTTTAGGAGGATAAAATGGGAATTGAAAAGTCGCAAATTCCGTCTGAAGGGTTACCGTAATCGAGTGGCTGCTTGGATCCCCTTATGGACAACACAGCAATAGCTCTGCAAGTGAAGTTCAAAAAAGTAAACTTCATTCAGCTTCAAATACTATGCCACTTAATCAAAGTTTATGCAAAATTATATTTCGACATCTCTTTGAAAAGCCAGAAGTATATCAATCTTTGAAACGTTCAGAGATTGGAGATATTTCTCCGGCCTTTTTCACTGGAAATCTGTTCCATTTGCAAAGGAACGACAAGTGTTCTTTGCTTCAGAGCATAGATTTTGAGTTTACCATTGGTCTTGTCCCAGCTTTTTTACAAAGTGGTGGAAAAACTTTCGGTATGGGCAATTGAATAACTGCTTTGCTTCTAGAAAATTTACTTGAAACTGCATGTGGTCCTGTACAGAAAAACAACTAGACTGCGTGGCAACCCACCTAGAGCATGGCAAATTTCATTTTTAATTTATCTGTGCAACCTAAAAGTTTTTCCACAATTATTTAAATTACACATAGGAAATATTGTCAGCCTTAGTGTGTATTTTTGTCATGGGTTCAACGCTGGCGAAGACTGCCAAGACAGTTTGTCGGATGTTGCATTGTTTTCTTTTTTGCGAAACTTGCAACGTTCCTGTGGTTGTTTTCATTTATTGCACTCGTCTTAGATATGGTGGACTGATGTTTTCAATGAGCAGATGTTCTTAGTGATGGATTTTCTTGCAGTGATATCGAACCAGGGCTCTACCAACTATGAAGTTGGAAACCTGCGTTTATTCCGGATACAAGATCTACCCTGGGCATGGGAAACGTGTCGTACGTCTCGTAGCGGAATGCGTAATTTTATTTTTTTGACTACGTTGGCTGGCGGTTGCTTTTTCTTCCTGACATCTGTGTTTTGGGGTTTTTCGCTCATTATATCGCGATATAATCGCCATTAAAGAGCCAAGAGCTTTTGTGTGGGAACAGCGGCATTGATTGGTCGGTATGGCTTTCGAAAGAGAATCTCACATGGAGAGTTTGGAACTTGGATTAAGGCTGCCTGTTCAGAGATGTCGCCGCCGGCGCGAAAAAACGCACAGGCGAAAATCTCCGCCAAGATTTAGATACGCATCGACTGAGAAATTGTGAAACGCGTAAGCGAAACGTCCGGAGCAGGCGAATTTCAGTCAAGAGTTTGATATGTATCGACTGTGAGAAACGCACAGGCGGAAAATCGCGTGAGCGAAGCGTTCGTAAGTCGATGCGTATGATACTCATTTTCGTCGATCCTCCCACTTCACCGTATGTTTTTCGCGCAAGCGGACATCTCTGAACAGGGCCTTAGGTCTTCGAATTGATGACTTACATGGTTGGTCAAAGTAGAATACTAAAAGTGAGAGTGGAAAGAGAAAGCGAGTCTGACAATTATCCATGAGATTAGGATAGATCATTAACCGAGTTTCAGAACAGCGTTTTTTTTTATTCGTAGCGCGCGGGTACGTAGCCCACTGCTAATCCGTGAGAACATGTTTATCATCGTTACTGGGTGAAACGGAAGCTTGCAGCCGAGGGTAGCTGAAGTGAAGGCAAAAAAAGAGTCCTACCCAGGATGGCCCTGCAGGTCTATGTGTAGATAATGTCGCGTTCTATGTCATCACGACTTCGATTGCAAGTAATATCTGCGCTTTCTCTTCAGAGCTTGATCCCAAAAGGCTCTAATCCTTGATCCCCTACAAAACCGCTTCAATAGGTTTTCGGTCGTTTCGGCAAGCTTGACGATAGCATGGCGCGCATGCGCGTCAGATTCACGGGCGGATAGGCTCGTTCTTCGTGATGGCAGTTCTCAGTTTCAAACGTCTTCTTACAGTACCTGATCCGTAAAACAGTGCCCTAATTGAAGTTAAATAATTATCGTGGGAGCAATGAGATTGTGTAGAAAATAAGCAAAAAAAAAATATGCCGGTTTGCACGCACAATGGGATGTTGTCAGTGTATTAATTTCTGACCTCTGATTGCTTTTAACTTTGTATGTTGATTGGTTCCTGGAGCGGAGTACCAGAGGGTGTCCTGTTCTATTTTTTCGAATTGGGCTGATTAGGGAGAGTGGTGGCTTTTGCTTTTCTCCCCCGTTGGAATTGCAAATGTTCATAATGTGGTTATCGAGTTAATATTGTACCATAGATGCATTTGCATTCTTTGCCTTCGGTTAATACTCAAGGTAGGGCACGAGTGTTTTGAACCACGCATGAGAAATTTTCTTCGAAGCAGAAATTACCACAGAAGCCTTAAACACGTTTCGGCCACGTTGATTTATTATGTTTATTATAGGTTTGTTCTTTCGTGGCAGTAGTGACAAAGGCGAATGACAAAAGACGAAATCACTGGGAAGACTGAGTAGTCACTGATAAGATCACATTTTAAGGTGCAAATTTTCCTTTCTGCGAAGACATTCCGATCTACTAAGCTGAAGCGCAGTCCCAGAGACATCCGCTGGACAGTACTTTACCGTATCAAGCACAAGAAGGTAAGTATTTTAAGTATATGGTTGTTCTTTTTATGAATTTTTCTTTTTTTTTGAAATTTTGATAACGATATATTCAAATGCGCTTTACGAGAGGACACATATTTGCCTTCCTGCAGCTCGTTTTTTTTTTGAAGGGAAGTCTTCCTGTCTTCTTGGGCGTCAGAATGTGGGATATGGCAAAATATGTGGCTTTTGTGTCCCGAATAGTGTTAGAGAAAAGCAGATTCCAAGAACAATTTGTAAAGACGAGTTCGATTAGATTTCATTTTAGTGATATTTTGGAATCAGTTTTGTCTCTCGGCAACCACAGGGACCTGTCTTTCCTGCGTAAGCTTTACACCTTCCGCTGTGCTCCCTTCTGATTTGTGACACCATCACCTTGTGGAGGAGATGCGTATGCACAAAAAGTTGTTCCATGTGTATAGTACAAAGCCTTGAAGTGACATAACGATTGATGACATCTCAATACTTAATCTCAATTTTGCTTTGTTTTTCGTCAGTTTCGCCACTTAATCTCAATTTTGCTTTATTTTTCGTCAAAAAATACTGAGAAGTTCTCTTGCCTCCTTTTCTCTTACTTCCTTGTTTTGAGGGATCGTATGGTCAAGAAAATGTCCAAAGGAAGAAGGTGAAGAAGACCACTCATACCCTGAACCGTGCCGTCGCTGGAATGTCTCTGGAAGCTATCTTAGCTAAACGCAACCAGACATCTGATTTCCGACGTCAACAACGTGAACAGGCAGCCAAGGCCGCAAAAGAGGCGAACAAAGCAGCTCGAGCAGCCAAGGCTGCCATGAACAAGGTTTGTCCTAAGCTTTTTTGTATATGAGCCTCTTCGCTTGATTTCCGTTATTTTAATTATTTACGATTTTCGTCTTATTGGCGAACAATCTGAAATGGTTGTGTGCGCATTATTAGAGCTCGTTTCACCGTGATGGTGAATTGAGTGTCGAAAATGCGCGAAATTATTAGGTTTTCTTATTCCCGTATTGTGCTTCAGCTCGTAGATGTGAGTTTTTCACATTTTGAGCTGCTATGAGCTTGCGGTCGAGATAAGCCGACATTTAGTTTTCATGTTTATCATCTGATACATGTTTTCCTTTTGCGCCTCGTTATGATTTGATATTGCATTTGTATATTTGATTATTGATATATTGCAGGAAAAGAAGCCCGCTGCACAAAAAATGAAACCACCGAAGCCAGTGAAGACTGCTGCGCCTCGAGTCGGAGGAAAACGTTAAGCTTGGATAGCATGTTGTTTGTTATTGCAAATAAATATTGTTATCGTTTTACTTTCTTCGACTAGGGAGCTGTGGGGTTTGTCCTTTTTCCTTTACTTCAGCTCAATAATCCCTCGATTAGATTTGTCGTAAAGCGATCTGGCACGATGAGCATCCTACTGTAAAGAGTGAAGCTGACAATTATAGGTTAAACTAATTTAAGGCTGAAATAGATTAAAAGTAGCTTTGTTTGTAGTTAAGGTTCTACATGGAATAATCAATATTCTGAAGTTGAGGCATCACTTAGAGAAATAAAATCGGGAAGCTCAAGAACACGTTTGTGCTGAATCACTAATGTAGCATGCAAGGCGTGACTTATTCGAAGAAAAAAATTAGGATCAAGGAGATCTAAGAAATTTGGTCAATAGTGTGAATTTGAGCGAAGCTTGAAGATACGTTGCACTTCTTCGACTGGTAATTGTGACGGCAACATCTGTCCGAATACTTTCGACTAACCATAAGTTAATGTGCTGCATAGCTTTGTTGGACAGTTACGGACATCTCTATAGCTTTCTGTGGCAGTAAGGTATGCTTCCCCGAATGGTTGGGGGACGAAAATCCCTTTAAATTTTTTTGTTTTGAACGATACTGTTTCTTCATTTTCAGTGCATGTTTACTTTAAGCTACACATATATTAAATGTAGGCCCTTTATCAGGACAATCCCAGTTGGGAAGACAGAGAAAATTTAAAGGGATTTTCGTCCCCCAACCCAAAGCATACCTTACGGCCCCTGGAGCTTCGCGCAATCCTAGAAACGGACCTTCGCAGGGATCCATGTAGGTTCCACGGTGGTCAAACGTCTGTGTAACTATTACAGCATCTTGGGGAAGCCTGTGGTTGTTAAAAGTTCTTTATGAAGTGTATATCGGAACGTCGTAGCAAATCCAACTTCGTAAAATTTCCAATCTTATTGAGAACACATTCGTCTCTTACCGCTGCATTACACTGTAATGGCTGTTACACTGTAAACGGCGTAGTTCGCTTTCTCTCGAGCTACGTTCCGACCTCATACGTTGAACAGTTCCACCACTAAGATACGCCGTTTTATTGAAATATTATAGTAGTGTTTAACTTGCTCAAGATGTTCGTATTTATACGTAGTACTGTAGTTCGATTTTTCGTGTGTAGACAAATTATCAGCTCATCTGAAAAAAGTGGATCTTGTTCAAGTCTTCTGCTGCTGCTTTAGCCACCGAGATTGGTATCAACTTTATTCGGCTAACGTTTCGGCGCAATCGCCTTCTTCGGAGCCTGCAAATCAAAGCATATTTTTGAAACAAATTCATTCAAGCACCATTTTGGATCACATGAAGGAAAAACTGGGAAATGAGTCAAGCACGAAGTCGTAACCAGCTAACCTTGTTCAAGTCATTCAGCGCAGTTTGGACACCTTCATGGGAATGAGTCCGAAGTGCTTTTTGAAAATGTATGTTTTAAGGTGATGCAAAGTAAATCCCTCCTGAATGGCGTGATACTGGGATGGTTCTTCGCGCTATGGCTAGGAGCACGTCTAATCGATGTGAACGTGCCTATTACCTCGATTCCTAGTGACCGCCTGAGGGATTCCATAGATACTGCAGGACTGTACTGTCCATACTCACTAACGGTGGAACAGTACTGGCGCAAAGGACCAAGGGAGCACGTCACAAGTAAGAGATCTTTTTTTCAGACCGTTACATAGAAATAGAATTGTTCAAAATAAATTAAGGCATAAATGTAGCAAGTAACGACCCGGTTCTGTATACTCCTATGCCAGACTTGCCTGGGAGGATAAAGCACTGTACCTCAACTGCCCCCGTAAGTCATTGTGTAGGCCAAATCGCAGTCGTACTGCCGCTACATTCCTAATGAAAGTAGAATGCGTGGCGCATTCAAAAAAGGATTGATTAAGGCCGGATGCTTGATCGATTCCGTTTTGAAGGCCTTTTCCTTATATCCCATCTTCTTGAATGAAGTTCGTAGGTCCGTGTGGCCGACTGAAGGGAGGCCAGTTCATTGTGATGCTGCGGGGAAAGGGAGGTTTAGGGCCGTATTTGATGACGAGCGGGAAAGTTTTGAGCATCTGGTGTCGTCCACATACCGCGGTTGATCCTGATTGTATGGTAATTCCGTTCATCCGGACCAGCAATTAACCTAGGAATGAACTGCTGTTAATCCTTTGCTTTTATATAAAAGGCTTCCTTTCAGTTGAAGGCGGCAAAGGAACGATATTTCTGTTCAGAGAGAAAATAGCGGCGGCCTTCAAGAATTCCAGGTATTGCTCTTCTGTTTGAAAACAATCTAGTTACTCCTGTCTTTGGCTGCGTATGGGCTAATAGGAACTCTTCAGCATGTACCTGAGCGTCCTTATTTCATATATTCCTTTCACTTGCTTTGCTTTCTCCGATTTAAGAGAGTTGAAAGGGGAGAGCAAGGGAAGGCTAGCCTTCCAGTGGTAACTGCTTTTGGACTAGCCATTTAACCGTGAGGAGGTTGTTCATGGAGCACTCATGATCGCAGGAATGAGATCGTGATACTACTGGTCAATATGTAGGGATGCTGTCGTTTCACTGCCACTGCGTGAGCTATTTTGCGACCTGAGCGGCTATAGTAGAATTTGCCACCAATCTTCATTTTTAGAACTTTCGAGTTAAACGGAATTAGACATTTCCAGAGACGGAGCTATTGTGGTGCAATGGTTTCTTCAACAAATTCGAGTGGATCAGCTTCTCATGGAAGTATTCTTGTGCGAATATATTTGGGTAATTTTTTTTATCTTGAGTAGTTGAGGTGGAGTATGAAAAACAATTAAAATTCCATTTTTCAATGTCTCCACCCTTTTCCATTTCGGAGAAGTAAGATTTTTTTGAAGAGCAAACGTTAGCACCCAGTTCTATTGAAATATGAGATTGACACATGATACCACTGGCGCATGGTTGGCAAAATTTCATCACTGGGTAGTTGGTGTACTAGTTAGTGTGCTTTCGGCCCGGACTTCCTGGACATCAAATAAGTCTTCTTGCTCCAAGACGCTTCTCAATACCACGAGGTGGCTAGTCGTCCTTCAAGACGACAGTGTGTGGGGTTGTGGATCATAGCGACTTTGTCGGAATTACAGGATGTCAGTGGTCCTTACAATCAAAGCCCTTGGTCTATTAGATCTGCTCAGCAATGAGTCGATTGAGTGACTGTTGTTGTCAAGTTTGGGTTAATGTAGTTGGAATTGGTCTTGAGTTCTTCGGGGATGGCGATGATTTCATAGTACGAAGACGATGAGGACAATGAAAAGTGACTTGTATCTGCTTGTAGAGGGACATTTCAGGAATATTCTTCACCAAAAGCTCCTTCTACCTGACCTCCCTGCGAAATTGCTTTTTCTTCTCCACACCTGCCCCCCAATTCGGGTGTAGCCGCCATTTTACAGCGCTATTATTCCTAGGCTGTATTATATCAGATTATGATCTATTCTACCCTTGATAATCGTACCTGATTCCAAAGCACTTGATCTCACTGTTCAGCTTTCTGTTCTTGGCGCCGCGGTCGCCTGTGCAATGTCGCGAATGCTGGTATTCGATCCGTTTATTGTTATCAGAAATGCTCCTTTGCAATACATTGAAGAGATGAAGTCGAATGAAAATACTTACATCACTAATTTGATGAGGTCAGTCATTCATTTTCATCGTGATGAATCCTGGATAAACAGAAATTTCGAATTATTGTGTGAATTTCATTGCGGACTTTCCAAACTCCTCGGAGTTTCAAAAGTTTCGAAAGTTCGAAGGATATAAAAATGGCTAAATTGACTGATCATCTCTTCCCAGGCACGCCGTGTACAGTTGACTTTCGTCCAGATAGAACAATATCTGACTGACCGAGACGACTTCTGATTCAGAAGCCCGGTGCGACTGTCGATGCCCCAGCTTTACCACAAAATGGGAATGGCAGAAAAGGGTGAAACGCTTGAAATAATACCTAATGGTTGTGGGGTTTGAAAAAATGACTATCACTCTTGATATGGTAAGGCAGAGACCAGAAAAGATAGGTGATCGCCGAAAGGAGCAAGATCAGGGGTCGTATGGTATGTCGACTTCAACTCATGCTGGTCCTGTTGTCTATCACCAGGCTAGGTGTCTCCATTGTCTATCTGTAGTTGAATTCATTTTATTTTGGCGAGGAATCACGAGGAAACTCATTTTCCAATCGCATGGAGTACCCCATGGGCAACTAGCCGACCTGTCGATGGACCCTTTTTCGGGAACTGGCTCAAAATCTCAATTTTTCTAAAACTTCTACGTTAAGGATATCTACTGCTGCTGATCACGAATATGACATTTACTTTTCCAGATGGCTCCAATTTACGCCACTTGGCACCACTTGGCGCAATTCTGGCTGGCAACTTTTTTGCCATATTCCATTTAAAACCTGAGTCTGATAATACTCGTGCCTGATACGAATATGATATCTAGTTTGTGTCTATTTTGGTCTCTATTGTTGGTTAATTTGGAACTCCAATGAACCCTGCAAAAATTGTCTCTTCTCAGGGGGGACTCCTTAACTCATTTTCCTCACGCAATTTTTGCCTTCTAGGGCCATTCAGCGAAATAGAACATTGGTTGTATTAGGCATCTACGCGCAACCCAGATGAAACGAATGGTGTTGCCACCCTAAATGGAATATGATGCCAAAGAAAAAAAAAAGAAAAATGCGTAGAAACGCTAGTGTGATTGCTGCAGGGTCTGTTATCCTTTCGACTGTGCTACACATCAAAGGAAGCGCGTGGAGGAGGGATAGGCGAGAGATGACAAGATGATAGAGGTTGAACGAGACCAATCAGAATCCGGAAGAAAGAGAAGAAGCGGTTGAAAGCCAGGTTATCATTAACCCATTCGTGACAATGGCAGCCACCGGTGGCTGACAAAGATCTCACTTGTACAATGGTATCCACCGGTGGCTGCCGTGTTTCAAATGGAATTTGGAAAGTTTTCTTTCCTGAAAAGAATCTTCATACCCTCATTCATCTATGCCAGCCTTGGGCACGGGGAATCTCCATCCACTCAAATTTTATTGAAGAAAAATCTCCTGACTCTCCTGCTAATGCGCAAACCGGCGCGGTCGCGAATGGGTTAAGGATTCTAACCGACTCGAGGATTTTCGCCTGATCAGTTACCTCCCACGCGGACATTCAAACTCGCCACGAGGAAGCCGTCCGTTCTCTCCGCGCGTATGTTCACTCTCGGCACTACTCTCGCACAGTACAGAGCCATGGTCGAGGAATTCCTCGATGTTATTACTTGATTGAAGCAATCTCTGGATCTTGTTCGCGCATGTCGCTGCACATTTTAGAGCCGGAAGAACGGGAGATCTGCGACTTTTATGAACAGCTCCATTCTACGCACCAAAAGAACTCACCAATCTGATTAAAGGAATCTTGCGCGGAAAATTCTTGCACTCTTTCCTAACATGAATATGTCAGTTGTGATCACTGGAAATAGCACACAAAGTTTCACGCATGAAGATTCGGTTTCTGAAGAGAAACAAACGTACAAAAACTACACGTTATGGACCATCGAAGGACCAGGAGGCAGAGCCAGGCGAGGCATGGAAAGAAGACGGCGTTTGGCCGGCTACGTACCAGGCGACGCAATGAGAGAATCGGGTTAAAGCGCGCGATTTCGGAGAGTGGAGACAAATCGATCGATGGAATAGGATGGAGTAAGTGTAAGATGTGAATGCAACGAAGCAAGAGGCCAGAGACTTCAATGATCGCTAAAAACGAAATTGAGCACAACGTCGACATTCGTGAAACCCCGATGGGTCAAATTCGAACGCGTAGCAGCCTTTTCGAGTTTTCGAATTTCTAATCAAAACGAAATCAATACTTCGGTTCTTTTCACTATTATCGTGGATAATAAGTCTCAAGCCAGTGATTTATGGCTGAAATAAAATCATGATTTTTCCGCGCAAGAAAGCTTGATCCTGTTGGCCTTGAAGTGTACGGTGGGCTCCCTCCGGCAAGTATTTTCGTTTCGCAGCATTTGAGAATTAGGAGTTCCGGTTATTTATGCTGATAAGGAGATGTTATTGATCTTAACAGAAGGGAGTTCTACTATCATCTGTGTAAACGCTGTGGTCATGTGGGTGCCGCTTATCTGAAATTTAATCTCTGCGATTTGATGTCTGACGTCTTTGAACGTTCTGACCGGACATAGCTTAACTACGCAGCATCGTGGTAGTAACTTTCTTCAGTGGAGTTTGTGTATCACGAATTATATCACCGAAGAGTTCACCTAGCACAAACTCTAAAACTAGGAATAAAATTGGTGACAGTGAAAGTAAAGGCAAATTTCGTGATAGCTATGGTAAGTGAGATAATGAGCGGTGGGCGATTCTGCGAGACTTAACGGGCGGTAATAAGTGGTGAGAGCCTATTCAAAGAGCGAAATGCAGATACCGCAACTGTGGGCGTGCATGGTTGCTTAGGGAGTTTGCGGTCGTAGGGCCCATAGGACCAATGCGGCTCTTACCACGCGCTCTTGATCGCGAACGTGGTACTACCTGTCTACCTTTATGGGGGCCTCGATCGCTGCGACCGCCATCATTCCTGGAAGGCTCGCCCAGTACCATCCAGGGTGAAGATCGTGTCGAGGACGTGGTCACCTCAGTACGACCCCCTCTCAGATCGGGGTCTTGATACGACCCCTCTAACTTTGATTTGATGTGAATAAGCGAGTTCCATCAATGTACAGCAAAGCATTCAGTTGCAGCGCGGTTTATCCGTGGGTCAGATTTGCCGAAACCCCGCTCGAAACCGTCGAAATCTACACTCTCGATGAAAAGGTTCCATTCCCCCATTTCACAACCTTTGGAGCAGTGTTGTAGGGTTAGATAGAGCTGGATTTGCTACTACCGGGCAATATTGAAATTGATCTAAAAGCTTTACACTCGAAGAGATAGGGTCTCTCAAATTTTGTCGAGGCAGCGTCGAGGATGCTGAATTTTTCATGCGAGTTTTTGCCACTTAAAAGGCAATATCTCTCTAATTTCGTAGATCTTGAAAAAAGGAAACAGTTTTGGAAAGCGGAAGGTTTGCGCTTTCTAACAGTATGTTTAGCTTCCTTCTACATTCTTTAGTTGAGGAGATATTTGCGTCGAGGATCTATCGAGGATGATTCTCGGCCGCTCAAAAAGCCGCTCCCTTCTTCACCATTGCAAGTGCAATTCGTTGGCAACGCTCGAAATGTGTCTAGAACAGGGTCAACCCTACGTTGTTACTAGTAACAACGGGGGGGGGTCGTACCTGGTTGAGTTTGTAGGAGGGGGGGGGTCGTATAGGTTGGGAGTTGGGAGCGCGCGGGAGAAAAATTCGCCGTTTCAGCGCGTGTATATACCCCCCTCCCCGCTCGACGGCATTTTTGGAGGAAAAAGTGGGCGGAGTTTGGTGGGTTGAGTGGTACCAGAATTAAATACTATAGAGAGGAATATGGTGGTCGAGGTGTCGAAAAGGGGGTCGTACCAAGTCCACCTTGGGGGGGGGGGGTCGTAAAAATTTTTGAAAAAGTAACAACGATAGACTGACCCTGTCCCGACTACGTTTTCCTAACGTAAGCGGTAAGAAAAGAGGCAATCGTCATCTGATCTCGTCACAATACGTGCCATGCACTCGAAGTTGCAGAATTGATTGAAATGTGTTACATGATCATGACCACTTGACAAAAGCTTCATTGTAGCAAACACGTTTTCGTGACTCTATGACCTAAAGAACAACCTTCGCGCGAGGGCCTTCCATCCACGGTGTCATTTTGCGGCAGCGTCCCTAAGCAACAGTGTCATTCTCAACGAGGAAGCGGGCGATAGATGGAGGAATGCCTTCGCAGCGTGTGTGCACATGTGACCTGTTCCTTGCAAAGATGCACTTTCATTCTTTGTATACTTCAAAATACTTCCTTCTCGAGGTAGAGAGACGGA